ATGCTGAAGTGAGCTGTAGCTCACGAAAGCTTATGCGCAAATAAATTAGTCTCTAAGGTGCCACAAGTACTCCTTTTTTTTTTTTTGGTATAAATCCTTTATGTAACAACAATATTCTATGCTAGACTCTCTCATGAAAGAGACTACGTCTTCATTATATATTGCATGCATTCAGTAAGTCCTTAAAATGCTTTTTCGTGACTTACTGTGCTTTAACAGCCTTTAACATGTAAAAGCTTTGACTGGCATTGCTGAATTTTGTAGGACTTGTTGCCTGGGTTTGCTGCTGCTACACCATGGGGAGGGAGAAAAGTAGGTTTTAGGAGCCTCTCTAGTATAATCTAGGGAGGCAGTGTGGCCTAGTGGAAAGACCATTGGACGTGGATTCAGGAGTTGTGGAGGTTCCATTCCCAGCTCTGCCACTGGTCTGCTGGGTGACCTTGGGCAAGTTCCTACCCCTCTTTGTGCCTCATTTTCCCCACATGTCATAATGGGGCTAATGATACTGATGCCTCTGTATAGTGCTTTGAAACATGATGAAAGGTGTAAGGTGTTGTTTGTATTTTAAGAGACTATTGCGGATTGTCAAGTCTTGAATGAGCTTCTTATTTGAAACAGTCTGGATAACTTAGTTTATTACTGTCCACTTCTCAGGTGATCACTGTATTTTGTGGCAGTTGCGTATTTGGAAGTCATTTTGTGGCCTGAAAGTTTTTATCTGGCTGGGTGGTGTTCTGACCTGTGCTCCCCTGCACTTGTCAGAAGCACCCTCTTCAGAAGGGGGTTGATCTCTTTAAAGATATGTTGCTGCCTTGGTAGTACAATACTTTCATGAACAATAGGCTGGTTGGCAGAATTTATTTTCTTCCTCTAGACAGGTCATTAAATGCTGAGTATAAGCTTCCTAGTTTGTCCCTCTTTGATGCATAAGGTTGGATAGTATCCTATATCTGTATGAAGAAGATACCATACCTGATATTAAGTATGCTGTCAGTTGTTGATACCTTTGTTTGTATCAATTTAAAAATAAAGGGTCTTAGATAGAAAGCCAGTTAGAAGAGTCAATCTGGTTCCAGATTTATCATAGGTACTTGTCAAGGCTGAATACCCACTCTGTCACTCCAAGTGCAGAAAGTGGGGGCCAGCAAGGATTCTAAAAATTAATACTTGCCACTCCAGGCTTGTATTAAACTCCCAAGGTTACAGCTTCTCTCTGACCTGGGCTTGGTAAATGCTGCCACCATCCAAATGCAAAAAAACCCCTCCTTGGATCCGGGAAGGAACACTTGGGAATTCCTCCCTGTGGGGAACCCTCAAGCCCTTTCATGCTCCTTCAGGGGAAGAGCTGTGAAAGAAAACAAAGGAAATTAGCTGTGGCCACCAGCTAATCAAACAGCATATGCACAAACCTCTTAGGACACAAAAATCCAAATCCTTCTTAAAAAAGATAAATTTTATTAAAACAAAAAGAAAAAAAAATACATCTGGAACTTAGACTGTTGCTAGATTTTAAAAGAGCAATCCCCAAAATTAAGAACCCAAAATAGCTTTCTTGGGGGTTCAGCTTAAAGGTTACAAGCAAACAAAAGCATCTGGGATTAGCACAGAGGAGATCCACAAGCCAGAATAAACCTGATCGCGTTTATCTAAACGTGTCCTATCCAAATGATTCCTTCTAGGTATGGAAGATAATTTTTCATACCTGGTTCGAACTTTACACAGCATTACTGCTTATGGCGTTGCTGCACTGTCCCTGCTTCTCCAGAGAACAACAGAGAAAGGACAAAAAGAACAGGAGTACTTGTGGCACCTTAAAAAGAAAAGGAGGACTTGTGGCACCTTGGAGACCTCAGAGACTTAACAAATTTATTTGAGCATAAGCTTTCGTGGGCTACAGCCCACTTCATCGGATGCATAGAATGGAATATATAGTAAGAAGATATAAATATACATACAGAGAACATGAAAAGGTGGAATTAGCCATACCAACTGTAAGAGGCTAATTAATTAAGATGAGCTATTATCAACAGGAGAAAAAAACTTTTGTAGTGATAATCAAGATGGCCCATTTAGACAGTTGACAAAAAGGTGTGAGGATACTTAACATGACAAGTTTCAGAGTAGCAGCCGTGTTAGTCTGTATCCGCAAAAAGAAAAGGAGGACTTGTGGCACCTTAGAGACTAACCAATTTATTTGAGCATAAGCTTTCGTGAGCTACAGCTCACTTCATCGGATGCATTCAGTGGAAAATACAGTGGGGAGATTTATATACACAGAGAACATGAAACAATGGGTGTCACCATATACACGGTAATGAGAGTGATCAGGTAAGGTGAGCTATTACCAGCAGGAGAGCGGGGGGACGGACGGACGGACGGACCTTTTGTAATGATAATCAAGGTGGGCCATTTCCAGCAGTTGGCACCCTGACAGCAGGATTGTCTGGCTATGTAGACTCCCTCCTGAGGTCCTTCACTACCAGCACTCCCAGCTATCTTTGAGACACCACTGACTTCCTGAGGAAACTACAATCCATCGGTGATCTTCCTGAAAACACCATCCTGGCCACTATGGATGTAGAAGCCCTCGACACCAACATTCCACACAAAGATGGACTACAAGCCGTCAGGAACAGTATCCCCGATAATGTCACGGCTAACCTGGTGGCTGAACTTTGTGACTTTGTCCTCACCCATAACTATTTCACATTTGGAGACAATGTATACCTTCAAATCAGCGGCACTGCTATGGGTACCCGCATGGCCCCACAGTATGCCAACATTTTTATGGCTGACTTAGAACAACGCTTCCTCAGCTCTCGTCCCCTAACGCCCCTACTCCACTTGCACTATATTGATGACATCATCATCATCTGGCCCCATGGAAAAGAAGCCCTTGAGGAATTCCACCATGATTTCAACAATTTCCATCCCACCATCAACCTCAGCCTGGACCAGTCCACACAAGAGATCCACTTTCCTGGACACTACGGTGCTAATAAGCAATGGTCACATAAACACCACCCTATACCGGAAACCTACTGACCGCTATGCCTACCTACATGCCTCCAGCTTTCATCCAGACCACACCACACAATCCATTGTCTACAGCCAAGCTCTATGATACAACCACATTTGCTCCAACCCCTCAGACAGAGATAAACACCTACAAGATCTCTATCAAGCATTCTTACAACTACAGTACCCACCTGCTGAAGTGAAGAAACAGATTGACAGAGCCAGAAGAGTACCCAGAAGTTACCTACTACAGGACAGGCCCAACAAAGAAAATAACAGAACGCAACTAGCCATCACCTTCAGCCCCCAACTAAAACCTTTCCAATATATCATCAAGGATCTACAACCTATCCTGAAGGACGACCCATCAGTCTCACAGATCTTGGGAGACAGGGCAGTCCTTGCTTACAGACAGCTCCCCAACGTGAAGCAAATACTCACCAGCAACCACACGCCACACAACAGAACCACTAACCCAGGAACCTATCCTTGCAACAAAGCCCGTTGCCAACTGTGTCCACATATCTATTCAGGAGACACCATCATAGGGCCTAATCACATCAGCCACACTATCAGAGGCTCGTTCACCTGCACATCTACCAATGTGATCTATGCCATCATGTGCCAGCAGTGCCACTCTGCCATGTACATTGGCCAAATCAGACAGTCTCTATGTAAAAGACTAAATGGACACAAATCAGATGTCAAGAATGATAACATTCAAAAACCAGTTGGAGAACACTTCAATCTCTCTGGTCACTTGATTACAGACCTAAAAGCGGCAATTCTTCAACAAAAAAACTTCAAAACCAGACTCCAAGGAGAGACTGCTCAATTGGAATTAATTTGCCAACTGGATACAATTAACTTAGGCTTGAACAGAGACTGGGAGTGGATGGGTCATTACACAAAGTAAAACTATTTCCCCATGAAAAAAGAAAAGGAGTACTTTTGGCACCTTAGAGACTAACACATTTTTTTGAGCGTCCGATGAAGTGAGCTGTAGCTCATGAAAGCTTATGCTAAAATAAATTTGGTATTTGCTAAGGTGCCACAAGTACTCCTTTTTCTTTTTGCGGATACAGACTAACATGGCTGCTACTCTGAAACCTATTTCCCCATGTGTCCCTCCCCCCTACCCCCCGCTCTTCCTCAGACGTTCTTGTCAACTGCTGGAAATGGCGCACCTTGATTATCACTACAAAAGGTTCTCCTCCTCCCCCCGCCCCCCCATCCGCTCTCCTGCTGGTAATAGCTCACCTTACTTGATCACTCTTGTTACAGAGTGCATGGTAACGCCCATTGTTTCATGTTCTCTATGTATATAAAATCTCCCCACTGTATTTTCCACTGCATGCATCCGATGAAGTGAGCTGTAGCCCACGAAAGCTTATGCTCAGATAAATTTGTTAGTCTCTAAGGTGCCACAAGTACTCCTGTTTTTTTAACATGACAAGTTTCTTTCCCCATTTTAAAAAATTCTAGCCTTCCCATTGGCTCTTTTGGTCAGGTGCCCACTCCTTTTCTTTTACCTGTGGGTTTGTTAACCTTTTACAGGTAAAGCAAGCAGAGAACAGACATCAAGAGGGATTTTACAGCTAACTGGCTGGCTGGGTGTTCATAAAAGGGAGCTATCCCCCACTTCATTTATTACAGTACTTATATGGTTCCCATTACTGTAGTATCTGAACACCTAACAATGTGTCTATCCTCATAACACGCAGGAGAGGTAGGGCAGTGCTATTGTCCTAATTCTACCAATAGATAACTGAGGCACAGAGAGGCTAAGTGACTTGTATTAGGTCACTCTGGGAGTCTGTGGCAGAGTAGGGAATTGAATCTGGGTCTCTCAAATCCCAAACTTGCACCTTAACCCGTGGACCATTCTTTCAAAGAGAAGTTGTTTTGTTCCACGAGCATGGTCTGTCTGTTTTATTTCCTTAGTGACATGAATGTGGTGGCATTTGCTTTTTCTTTTTTAGGTTTCCAGCAGACCTCTCATTTGTCTTCCTATGAAATTATACATCCACAGAGGTTAACAAGAGAGCAGCGAGCGGCCTCCAATTCCTCCTCAGTACAGGTACTTGGAAGTGTTTAAAATCATTCTCTGCTTCTGAATCAGGTTCGTCTAAAGTTGGCTCTAAATTCAGTTAGTCCATCCCCTGAACAATGTAACTGCAAATGATTGCAAGTATTCAGCCTCCCACAACATATGGAAGACATTGTGCTGGCTTTCAGATGATGGTGGTTAGTGCGTTGTAGACCCATCAAGCCATGTAACTTGCCCAGAGTAGGACAGAGTCTGTGCACTTTAAGGCACTCGAGGCTTAAACTGACTGTCACTTTGTCGGGATTAACAGGATTTCTGTGACCACAGCATGATGCTGTATCACAGATGACTTGCAGCTGACTGCGGTGGTAAGCCAGTGCTTGCTCATGTTGTGATAATTAATGTAGTCACAAGTGAATTTGAACTGTCCCTTTAAATAAACAAATCCAAACCTACTGGGATAGTACCAGGCAGTGGAGAGAATAGGCCATGAATGACCAGAACATACATGCTGAAGGATGCAGTAATAAAAACCACATTGTCCTTTCCCAGCTGAGGAGATTATATGAAAAGCACTAAGCTTCTTTCTAGGAGACTTAGGATCATGCTATTGGTGGAATAATTAAACGCAGAAAGCTAATTTTGAAATGAGTGAGTTAGAACCACACTGGGATTTGTGTCTGGAGTGTCATGTGACATAATAGGATCACCGGTATTTTGTTTATGCCTGCAGTCTGAAATCAGCAAAATGAAAAAGAATGGGAATTTCTTTATTAGCTTAGTCCCTTGGGTTTTGTGGGTGTAGAAATGGCCAAGGCAGGCAGTAATTTGCCTCACGGGTGTTTGGGAACTAAATGTATCTGAACTAAGAATGAACGTGCATAGTGATGACCTTAAGTAAACCCTCACGGCTGAGTTATAGCAGTTGAATATAAGGTCTTAATGGCAGGGCTGATGGCGGTGACATTAGTGGCACATATAGAGTAACTGGGCATGTGGGTGATGTTTACCCCAGGGTTTGGATGATGGCTGAGAGAGTGTTTTTGTTAGTACAATGTGTAAGTGTTCTCTTTTTTGTGTTCAGGACAAGGTGTCATATGTCATTCACGTAGAGGGAAGGAAACATATAATTCACCTAGAAAAAAACAAGTAAGTGACTCGTCTTTCCCTCTGACTTCTGGTAACTCTGCCCTGGGATTATTCACTTCCTATCAACTGCATTAGATTTGTACATGCTGTTTCCAGTTCTGGATGCTGTTTCCAGGTAACATGCTGTTTTCAGTCCTGGAGGTGGTGTGTTTGCACACTGGCTCTGTTAAACCTGTAAAGGAAAACAGTTGAAAGTGGACTAACTCTCCCTCCCTCCCATCTCCCCACAGTAGGGTACCAACTAAACATTTTTCTGAGCTGCTTTGATGATCAGTCTCAAGTACAGGAAGTGACTTGCCCAAAAGGGATCTGGGCAGGGATTAAAAGGACATGATCTCACTTCAAAGAAACAAACAAAACACCTACCTTTTTTAGCTGCTGGCTTGTGACTTCTGCAGTTTTATTTTTAAATTCTCTCCCTAGTTGCTGTGCTAAAGGTCCACACAAATGAGGAATCTGGCTATACACACAATGCTATAATGTTCAGAGTAAACACACACTGAACATAGAGATATTTTTTTCTCTAGTCCTTGTACAGTGATTTTTAAGGGTTACTAGTAATAACAATAGGTTAAAATCAGTCAAAAGTGTTTTTTTTTAAAAAGAAAAGGAGGACTTGTAGCACCTTAGAGACTAACCAATTTATTTGAGCATGAGCTTTCGTGAGCTACAACCGCATTTGCTCCAACCCCTCAGACAGAGACAAACACCTACAAGATCTCTGTCAAGCTTTCTTACAACTACAATACCCACCTGCAGAAGTAAAGAAACAGATTGATAGAGCCAGAAGAGTTCCCAGAAGTTACCTACTACAGGACAGGCCTAACAAAGAAAATAACAGAACGCCACTAGCGGTCACCTTCAGCCCCCAACTAAAACCCCTCTAACGCATTATTAAGGATCTACAACCTATCCTAAAGGATGACCCAACACTCTCACAAATCTTGGGAGACAGGCCAGTCCTTGCCTACAGACAGCCCCGCAACCTGAAGCAAATACTCACCAACAACCACATACCACACAACAGAACCACTAACCCAGGAACTTATCCTTGCAACAAAGCCCGTTGCCAATTGTGCCCACATATCTATTCAGGGGACACCATCACAGGGCCTAATAACATCAGCCAGACTATCAGAGGCTCGTTCACCTGCACATCCACCAATGTGATATATGCCATCATGTGCCAGCAATGCCCCTCTGCCATGTACATTGGTCAAACTGGACAGTCTCTACGTAAAAGAATAAATGGACACAAATCAGATGTCAAGAATTATAACATTCATAAACCAGTCGGAGAACACTTCAATCTCTCTGGTCACGCAATCACAGACATGAAGGTCGCTATCTTAAAACAAAAAAACTTCAAATCCAGACTCCAGCGAGAAACTGCTGAATTGGAATTCATTTGCAAATTGGATACTATTAATTTAGGCTTAAATAGAGACTGGGAGTGGCTAAGTCATTATGCAAGGTAGCCTGTTTCCTCTTGTTTTTTCCTACCCCCCCCCCCCCCCGATGTTCTGGTTTAACTTGGATTTAAACTTGGAGAGTGGTCAGTTTAGATGAGCTATTACCAGTAGGAGAGTGAGTTTGTGTGTGTATGGGGGTGGGGGGGATGTGAGAAAACCTTGATCTATGCAGGAAATAGCCCGACTTGATTATGTAAAGAGTTGTCACTTTGGATGGGCTAGCACCAGCAGGAGAGTGAATTTGTGTGGGGGGGTGGAGGGTGAGAAAACCTGGATTTGTGCTGGAAATGGCCCACCTGTTGATCACTTTAGATAAGCTATTACCAGCAGGACAGTGGGGTGGGAGGAGGTATTGTTTCATATTCTCTGTGTATATATAAAGTCTGCTGCAGTTTCCACGGTATACATCTGATGAAGTGAGCTGTAGCTCACGAAAGCTCATGCTCAAATAAATTGGTTAGTCTCTAAGGTGCTACAAGTACTCCTTTTCTTTTTGCGAATACAGACTAACACGGCTGTTCCTCTGAAACCTTTTTTTTTAAAGTTGATCTTCCTCATAATCAACATGTTGTAATAATAAACAAAAGAGACAATGTGGTCAAATTCACTAGGCTGTGGGGTCTCGGGCTGTCATTCATCAGATCCCTGGTCCTCAGAAGCATGGGAATTTGACTTCTCTGCTTTCTGGCTGCTTGGCCATCTCTGAATTCAGTACTGGGTCACCCTTTAAAAAAAATATTTCCCAATATGCTTTCCTCCAAAACTGGAGATAGAGAAGCCAGCTGCAGCCAGTTGGCCTCTGACTGCTGCACTTTTCTATTCCCTGCCTTCCAGCTAGTGAGCATTTAGCTCTGTTTTGATGTTTCCTCTTGTCTTTTTGTGTTTCATCCCTGAGGAGGTGGTAGATTCTTGCATTAAATATCCTATTTCAGTACCTTGAGTTTTGCCATAGTATAGTTACATAGAGGAATAGATCCTAGTAACTCCATAATTCCTCAATGGTTCGTGGGTTTGGTTTTTTTTAATATCAGTTTCCTTATTTCAATACAGATTTTTCAATACTGCCACTATTGATGAGGATCTTTGTTTTCTTGTTGCATCAACATTTTTGTATTTCTCCCCTCCCCCCCTTTTTTCAGAGAATTTTTACCCAAAGATTTCACAGTGTATACCTACAGCGAGGAAGGGAAGTTGCAGTCTGAAAATCCGGACATGCAGGTGGGTTTTCTTTCTTTTGTGTCCTTGTTGAAGCAGGGCGATTAGAACTTCATACAGCTGCATTGCTAAAGAGTAATGTATTACGAAACTGACTGGAGCGTCTTCTAAAGGAGTAGGTTCTAATCTGTAAAATGCACAACGCATTTCACTCCTCATCTGGGAAGATGCCTTGAATTTGGCCACTTGCACGTAACAGTAGAAAAATCACACTTTTCTGTGATGGGCGGGAGGGTAGGCGGGTGGGTGGGTGTGCGCTCATGTTTTATTTAAAAAACTGAATTTTTCCTGTTTGTGTGTGGTTTTTTTTTTTAAATCTTAATTTTTTTAATTAAAAAAGGAAATAGTTGTTTTGATTAGCCACTGAGCGTCTTTTCTGATTATATTCTGGTTATACTGGTGTTTCAAAACTGTAAATACAAGAGCAACGTAATATTTCTATTGTTCGCTGAATGCCACCTCCCCTTGCAGGGCGTTAGTCCTGCCTGTCAGGTGTCAGAGCAATCAAGGGGGGCAAAACACCCTGTTGGGGGTTCACTTTAGTGACTCTCAGATACAACTCTTTATGGCATTTTGACGCAGTATAAAACCAGATATAGAATATAATGACTTCCATGGACTGTCTCCCTCTTAGCCATACTCCTCCCCCAACTACTTGGATCATTAAATGTTTGGGATCCTATAGCACTAGTGGTCCCTGGATTATAATCAGAACTGCTTAACTAGAAAAAGTGAGCACAACTCTTCTCCCCATACGGGCAAGCTGCTGCTGCGACAGCTTCCACCCCCCTTGCTTCACCACGTGGCCATTAGACATTACATTTTCAAAGAATGATTAACTGGTTTCATGGAACAAACACAAATGGTGCCTCATGTCATAACAAATATATGCACATTTTACTTTCTCCACCCTCCCCTTGTTTAAAATAAGTCTGCTCTGTTGTTTGTGTGTCTGGTGTGATGCACAGTATCTCTTGCTTGGAAATGGAGCAACTGAGTGTTTAGGGGTTTTTTTCCCCCTTTTCCTTTCTATGGAAAGGCAGGTACTTGAATCTGAGGAGGAACACAGTTTGTGCTTATAGTGAGGCTGTAGTTCAGCCAGCGGCTATGACAAGCCCTGTTGCCCTGGGGGATTATTACATGCTTTAAGAACTTTGTAAGGCACCAGGCCAAAGAAGAAATGATTTCAGCTGCCTGACAACTACAGTGATCTCCAAAAATATGTCTGCTAGAGAACCTTAGAGCTACAGCTGCAATGCAGTGAACATTCTGTGTGGCACAGAATGAAATGCATTTGCCTTGTACTTGCCCCCGAGGATAATTTACAAAACCGGGCCAGGTAGAGTACAGAGCATGTTGGACATGCTTCTGTATGGGTTTTTGTGATGGGGGTGTGATGTAAATCTTGTGTATTTAGTGGGCTGTGAAACCACATGTTTCGCTCCTAGGGGATGGAATTGCTGCATTAGAATGGATCGTTTTGTGTCTTGTCCTGGGATCTCTTTGGAAGTCAAGCTTGAGTGGATAATGGCTTTCATCTGGCATTGTTCTGTTTTCCTGACAGTGCCTCGTCAGGGCTGTGTTTAGGCAGCACAGAGTGTCTGTCCATTGGCGGTAATAGCAGATGTTTACCTCGCTCTAGCCAGAGAGAGGCTATAAACAAGCCAAAGGGTGTATCATGCAAAATTCATTTCTGGAAGGCTGAATGGCTCACTGGCAGGACTTAAATTCAGCTGGAGCTGACCAGAGCGGAGCTCCAGTAAATATTTTCAAACCTGCAGGAGTCTCGGTGCCCTGGGGCTCCAGGAAATACTCGGGGAGAATTTAAGCCCTGCTCACTGGGTTGAGCTTAAAATATTTATGGGGGGTGGGGTGGGAAGGGGAGAACAAACAACGTTGAAGTTGGACAACTCAGCTTCAAGTCCAGAGACTGTTCACAGACGGTTTATCTGAGCCTGGTTGAGTAATACTAGAACATACATTAGGAGAGTAGACTTCAGTGTAGACAGACCTGTAAAATCTTAAAACTCCACAGCAGCCCAGCTGTGCCACTGTGATTGTGCCTCTGTAGTGTTTCAGGTGGTTTTCAATCTTTTTTCGTTTGCACACTCCTAAAAAATTTCAGATGGAGACGCGGGCCCCTGTGGAGATGTTAGACCTCATCTGCAGACCCCAAGGAGTCTAGAGGACATAGATGGAAAACCACTGGTGTAGACACTACTTACACTGACAGGTAGGATTCTCCCATCAGTGTAGTTAATCCACTTCTTTGAGGTGTGGTATCTAGTTTGACAGAAGAATTCTTCCGTCAACCTAGCGCTGTCTACACAGGGACTTAGGTTGGCTTAACCACTCCGCTTAGAGGATGGATTTTTCGCACCCCATAGTGATGTAGTTATGCTGATGTAATTTTCTAGTGGAGGCCACCAGGCCTAAGAATATATTTGCTATTGTTCAGGTAAGCGAGCGAATAGGGTGGGATTTAGCCTGGTCTGCACTAGAAAATTAGATTGCCATAACTATGTTGCTCAGGGGTGTGAAAAATCCACACTGCTGAGTGGCGTATTTAAGCTGACCAAAGTCCCTGTGGAGATTGCGCTAGGTCGATGGAAGAATTCTTCCATCAACCTAGCTGCTGCTGCCTCTTGCGGAGGTAGATTACCTACACCCAGGGCTTAAATTCTCATAGAGTATTTCCCAGAGCCCTCCCCATGCCATGAAAACTCCAGGGGGGTTGAAAATCTTTACCGGAGCTCTGCTCCACATGGCTCCAGATGAATTTAAGCCCTGCCTACACTGACAGGAGAATTGTACGTGGTGTCTACACTGAGGTGCTACTGTGGTGTCGCTACACTGCTGTAGTGTTTTAAGTGTACATGTGCCCTTAGATAATTCAGTAGTGCTGAATTGCTGGTCCTGTTGGGCTGTGAAATGGACCTGCAGTTATGGTACAAGGAGGCTGGCTTTCATTGTGTTTAATAATAATACAAGAGTCCTAGAGCGCCTGGTATTTAGATTAATAACTCCCCATGTTTACCTATGTGGAGGATAAACACATGTATGGTACCATCCCATGCACGCATTTCTTCAGGCTAGGGAAGGAGATCTCTTCCTACCATTAGTGCAGCAAGGTGAACAATAGCAGCAGCAGTTGTAGTCAGTTGCATTGTGTATGTATAGAAATAATACATAATTCATTTCTTTATTTTTTCCCTTAGGATCACTGCCATTATCAGGGATATGTGGAGGGGATACCAGATTCCATCGTAACTGTCAGCACTTGCTTTGGACTCAGGTAACAGAACTCTTCTTGTGTATGTAGTTATCACAACTATGCATTGTTATAATTCAGTTCTCTGAAACAGAATATTATTCTCCCTTTGACTTAATTAGTTTTGAGCCAAACTGTATTTCATCTGTTGGTGCTGGGCTGCATATGAGAGTATTGTGTTTAATTAATACCATCATGTTTTTGCAGTCTTTTGTTGATACAAAACGAACAAATACTTTGATTAAGACAAAATTATTTGATTGGTGGGACTATAACCGTTTGTCCTCAAAAATTCCAATCCAGAATTTCTCCCCACCCCTCCAAAACAACTGACTTCACTGTTCAGCCATCAGTAAATCCAACAGAATTGTTGCATCTGTTCTTAGTATTTTTACAACCTTGTATAGAAAGTTAATTTAAATGATCATTTTTGTATTGTATGCAATTATTTAGTGTTAGGGAGTTTTTAAATAAAATCTTGATTAGCAATTTTACTGAGACTTGACACTTAAAGTGTTTTATGATCAACTTTAATTTGAAAAAATCTTTGACTTGAGGTAATTTCAGCACCCTTAGGATTTTCTTGATTTGTCTATTATTGACATTCACATCACTGCTCTTTACTGCTTTGGCAACATTAACTGAACTGAAACATTTCTGTTTTCAGAGTCTGTGATTAAGGCCCCGATACTGCAAACTCTTATGAATATGCTTAATATGACACACGTAGGTTGTTCCACTGAAGTCATGAGGCTGCTTGCATGCTTAAAGTTAAGCACAGCACACAAGCGTCTATAGGAGTGGGGCCAAGCTTTTATTCTATATTTCTTTCTGTAATATGTTTGTTGTTCCCTCCTCCATCCTTCCCAAACGTCTGAATAACGGCAGCCTCTGGATTTAGTCTAGTAGTTGCTTGGCAGTAATGTGTATTCATCCGATTGTTAGGGGACTGCTGCAAGTGGAAAATGTCACGTATGGAATTGAGCCGATGGAGTCCTCCTCTGGCCTCAAACACATTATATATCGAATGGAGAATGTGAAGAAGGAGCCCATGATGTGTGGAGTTAACAACACAGACCCTGAAAGAGAACACACAGAGGATGAGCACCCTCCCAGCATGACTCAGTTGCTGCGAGTGAGTATTCTAGTGTCCTCTCTACACTGCAATTTGGAATTGCTTTTATGACTGTTCAACTAATAAGACAGAAATGGTGTATCAGGTTTCTCTCAGAGCTGACTACAGTTGAGGATTCTGACAGGCATTTTTCTACCTGCTGTAAGAACTCCATAGCTCTTTCATATCTGAACAAAACGGTTACAGTTTCCTCCAGGTTGTATTCGTACAAAAGAAGTAGCAAGGTTGCTGTAGGAGAGATTGAGGTTTGTTGACAGAGCTGCATGACAGGGGATGATGAGGGCAGGAATGCGGCTGTCCGGATTGAGGCTCATCAACAGAGTTCTGTGTCAGAAGCTAGAATGGCATTGGCCTTGCTGAAACTGGGACTGTTACTTTGATGGTTATGAGAATGGTGTAACAAAGTTTGTTCGGGGTTTCTTGTTTCACTTAGTTTAAATTTGACTAAAAAGATGGGAGCGATATGTGTGAGGCATGTGAAAAACATGTATGTTTGTTCTCTTTACAGCATTTGTTAGCAGCTACTAACAGTTAGTATTTATCACAGCTACTGCCATTTTCCCTGCTTAATCTGCAGAGAAATATGTGTTGCCTTTCTAAAAAAACATGAATGGAAATAAAAAAAACCCTTACTTTAAAAATTTAGCAGGACTTACTGGTTATGTGGCCAGTCTTTAGTCAAAAACATGTGCAGAGCAATTATTACTTTGCATGAGGTTTTTTTAGTTGGCTTTGTCTTTTGGGTGTGTTTTGGATGTGCAGAAAGAATAGCAAACATGGTAGGTGACCGGCTTGGCTTAACAAAGAAATCTTTGGTGAGCTTAAACACGGAAAGGAAGCTTACAAGAAGTGGAAACTTGGACAGATGACTAGGGAGGAGTATAAAAATATTGCTTGAGCATGCAGGGGTGTAATCAGGAAGGCCAAAGCACAATTGGAGTTGCAGCTAACAAGGGATGTGAAGGGTAACAAGGATTTCTACAGGTATGTTAGCAACAAGAAGAAGGTCAGGGAAAGTGTGGGACTCTTACTGAATGGGAGAGGCAACTTAGTGACCACATCTGCCAAGTTCAGATCCCAGACTGCTGTACTGGGCAGCACAGTATGGGGAGGGGTGAGCAGCCCTCAGCGGTGAAAGAACAGGTTAAGGACTATTTAGAAAAGATGGACATGCACAAGTCCATCGGGCTGGATGCATGCATCCGAGGATGCTGAGGGAGTAGGCTGATGTGATTGCGGAGCCATTGGCCATTATCTTTGAAAACTCGTGGCAATTGGGGGAGGTCCCGGACGATTGGAAAAAGGCAAATATAGTGCCCATCTTTAAAAAAAGGGAAGGAGGAGAATCTGGGGAACTACAGCCTCAGTCCCTGGAAAAATCATGGGGCAGGTCCTCAAGGAATCCATTTTGAAGCACTTGGAGGAGAAGAAGGTGATCAGGAACAGTCAGCATGGATTCACCCAGGGCAAGTTATGGCTGACCAACCTGATTGCCTTCTATGATGAGATAACTGGCTCTGTGGATATGGGGAAAGCGGTGGACATGATCTATCTTGACTTTAGCGAAGCTTTTGATACAGTCTCCCACAGTATTCTTGCCAGCAAGTTAAAAAAGTATGGATTGGATGAATGGACTATAAGGTGGATAGAAAGCTGGCTAGATCAGCAGGCTCAATGGGTAGCAATCAATGGCTTGATGTTAGTTGGCAGCTGGTATCAAGTGGAATGCCCTGGGGTTGGTCCTGGGGCCAACATTTTCATTAATGATCTAGATGATGGGATGGATTACACCCTCTGCAAGTTCGTGGATGACGCTAAGCTTCGGGGAGAGGTAGATACGCTGGAGGGTAGGGATAGGGTCCAGAGTGACCTAGACAAATTGGATTGGGCCAAAAGAAATCTGATGAGGTTCAACAAGGACAAGTGCAGAGTTCTGCACTTAGGACGGAAGAATTCCATGCTCTGCTACAGGCTGGGGACCGACTGGCTAAGCGGCAGTTCTGCAGAAAAGGACATGGGGATTACAGTGGATGAGAAGCTGGATATGAGTCAACAGTGTGCCCTTGTTGCTAAGAAGGCTAAACTTAATAGGAGCATTGCCAGCAGATCAAGGGAAGAGATTTGAGGCCACATCTGGAGTATTGCACCCAGTTTTGGGCCCTCCAGTACAGAAAGGATGTGGACAAATTGGAGAGAGTCCAGCAGAGGGCAACGAAAATGATTAGGGGGCTGGGGCACATGACTTACGAGGAGAGGCTGAGGGAACTGGGATTATTTAGTCTGCAGAAAAGAAGCATGAGGGGGGATTTGATAACAGCCTTCAACTACCTGAAGGGGGGGTTCCAAAGAGGATGGAGCTCGGCTGTTCTCAGTGGTAGCAGATGACGGAACAAGGAGCAATGGTCTCAAGTAGCAGTGGGGGAGGTCTAGGTTGGATATTAGGAAAAACTATTTCACTAGAAGGGTGGTGAAGCACTGGAATGGGTTACTTAGGAAGGTGGTGGAATCTCCATCCTTTGAGGTTTTTAAGCCCTGGCTTGACAAAGCCCTGGCTGGGATTGTTTAGTAGGGGTTGGTCCTGCTTTGAGCAGCAGGTGGGACTAGTTGACCTTCTGAGGTCTCTTCCAACCCTAATCTTCTATGATTCTATGATTACATTTGTAAAGCACTTGTTTTACTGAGTGCAAAATATGAGCATGGATTAGGATGAGCTCACTTTGTTTATACAGATGAACTTGTTGACTACAAAGAAAATGTGTTTTTTTTCTTCCTGTTTGCAGAGGAAAAGAGCTATACTGCCCCAGACAAGATATGTGGAGCTGTTCATAGTTGTGGACAAAGAAAGGGTAGGATTATATATTGGTTTTTCCTTAGTTCTTTGCTTATGGTGGAGGGCTCAGAAGTAACTTAAACACCCACACCCCAAATAATTATAAAACGTTTTAAGGCAGAGTAATAATGTACCTTTTTGTACTAAAACGTTTTTTCAGCCCTCATTATTACAAATGGATTTATTAAAGGACAATACCAGACATAACCTAGACAATTCAAATATATACAATGTTACTACCATTGCAAAATAGGATATACAGTAAAACCTCAGAGGGTCAGAGCTTTACAGTCAAGGATTCTAATGGTCAAAGGAGAATATTTCCCTTCCTGTTCTGCCTCTCTTGAACAGATGATGATCTGACTCCATCTGTAAATGTGCTGCCTACTAGTTTGCCCTCTTCTGGTGCTTTTTTTCTGACAGCAGTTCCAGGCTTTATCTTCCAAACATGAAACTTGGAGCCTGACAATAATACTTAAAATATGTTGTTCTTCCTCTTGTGTCTTATAATCATGTCAATCACGTCTTATTTCCATTAATAAATCTCTTTATATTGCAGTATGAACTCTTGGGTAGGAGTGAAACTGCTGTGAGAGAAGAGATGGTGCATCTAGCAAATTACCTGGATAGTGTAAGTTAAAGCTATACTGTGTCTAAATTGGCAATATTATTGAATGTTGTAGCCTTGCAACTTAAGTATTTAATTTTATAAACTGACCACCTTGGTCTGTTATCTTGTCAGAATCCTGCTAAGCAGGGTCAGGACCTGGTTAGTAAGTGAATGAACAAGGGAAATCCAGTGTCCTATTGGAAGTGATGTTGATGATTCAGTGGGAAGCACTCCTCCCTTGGAGTTACTGTTTGTCAGGGTTCCCCCCCCCTTTGAACTCTGGAGTACAGATGTGGGGACCTGCATGAAAGACCCCCTAAGCTCATTTCTGACAGCTTAGGTTAAAAACTTCCACAAGGCACAAATCCTTTCCTTGTCTTTGGACGGTATTGCTGCCACCACCAAGTGATTTAGACAAAGATTCAGGAAAAGGACCTCTTGGAGTTCCGATTTCCCCAAAATATCCCCCCAACCCCTTTCACTCCCTTTCCTGGGGAGGCTTGAGAATAATATACCAACCAATTGCCTTTAATAAAAGTACAGACCAGACCCTTTATTTTTAGGACACTAAAATCAACCAGGTTCTTAAAAGAAGAACTTTATTATAAAGAAAAAAGTAAAAGAAGCACCTCTGTAAAATCAGGATGGAAGGTAATTTTACAGGGTTATAAAAAGATTTCCCCTCTAGGCTCAACTTCAAAGTTACTAAAACCGGAATAAACCTCCCTCTTAGCATAGGGAAAATTCACAGGCTAAAACAAAAGATAATCTAATGCATTTCCTTGCCTTTACTTACAAATTTTGTAATCTTAGATGCTTATTTCAGATACGGGTTTAGGAGATGTTTTTTTCCTGCCTGGTCCCTCTCTCTGTCCCAAGAGAGTGCAACAGAGAGAGCACAAACAACCCCCCTCCTGGCCCCCCAGATTTGAAAGTATCTTCTTCCCTTATTGGTCCTTTTGGTCAGGTGCCAACCAGCTGATTTGAGCTTCTTAATCCCTTACAGGTAAAGGAGGGATTTTATGCTACCCTTAGCTGTATTGTTTATGACACTGTTGAACTGACAACATCTCACCATGGAGCTAGAGGGAGCTGTAAGGTGGTGGTAGTATTTATTTACCAAGGATTGAGGTGGATTCTCCATAACTGGAAATCTTGAAATCAAGATTGTTTGTTTTTATAAAAGATATTCTTGAGTTCAACCACAACTATTGGTTTTGAAGCAGGAATTAATTCAGGGAAGTGTGATGACCTGTATTATCCAGGTGAGGTCAGACTAGATGATCACAGTTGTCTCTTCAGGCCTTAAGAACTATGGATCTGTTGTGTTCTGTTTTAATTTGACTTTGGTTTGCTGGGGACACTATTGGTTCGTGTTCAGGATCCTTTCTATTTGTCTATCTTTTTGTTTTTTCTATAGCACCCTATCGCTGTGGTATATAGGCACTAGTCCTTTAGCCTACTAAAATTTATTAGCAGGACATATATGATTTGGAAAACTGACATTCATATTACATCGGAAAACTGAAAAATTAGATTTTGGTACTGTGATTATATATAATATTAAAAAACAATTTATCCTATGGCATGCTCAGATCTGGCCATTCTCAGCTTTGCTCTACATTCCCCTTTTCTTTGCCTTTTCAGATGTACATTATGCTGAATATTCGCATCGTGCTGGTTGGCTTGGAGATTTGGAAGTATGAAAACTTGATTAGCACAGACGGAAGTGCAGGCGATGTGCTGGGGAACTTTGTACAGTGGCGAGAGAAGAATCTTGTCACGCGTCGACGACATGACAGTGCCCAGTTTGTTCTGTAAGTGCTGGGAATCTTTTTCCCCATCCAGAAATAATTTTAAGAAAGGCCTTTGCCAGGAGAGTTTGCTTATTTGTATTAACATGTAACTGCAGACATAAAGGTTACATTAAATGAAGATTCCATGGTAACGGCTTTACTATGAGCAGTCGGAAACAATCTGCTGCACGTGCTGTTTACTGAAGCAGTGAGAACATTCAGCACCAACTTGTTCCTGACAAATGGGGATATCACTAAAATTAGAGGTTTCAGAGTAGCAGCCATGTTAGTCTGTATTCGCAAAAAGAAAAGGAGGACTTTTGGCACGTTAGAGACTAACCAATTTATTTGAGCATAAGCTTTCATGAGCATTCGATGAAGTGAGCTGTATGCTCAAATAAATTGGTTAGTCTCTAAGGTGCCACAAGTCCTCCTGTTCTTTTTCCTAAAATTAGAACAATTTTTGGATTGTTCCAAACTTGATGCTGCTTAATTTCTCTTATTACAAAGCTCACAGCTGTGGGTGACTTCACAGATAAGCCTTTGTCACATCATTTATTGGATAGACTTGTAGATCTAGGGCTTTTCCCTTGAAGTCCATAATTATCACAGCTGTGGAGTGTTGAATGTTGTGGTTTAATGGAGCACAAGCTGTTTCTGTCATCAATGTCCAGAAGCAAGTTACATGGTTTGAGCCTTACTGTGTAGAATTAGCTTGTTTCTCCATGTCACTGGCACTTTTGCATCATTGCACTATTAGCATCCCTTTCTTAAGCTGGAGTTTGTTTAATATTTGGAAGCCACATGTGGGACATTCTTGTTACTAAAATAATCTGTAGCATACTGTACTGAGATCACATGATGTAGGCTTGGTAACTTACAATGTGTCAGAGGGCAGTTTGGCAGGTAGCTCCTTCCAGCAGATTTATTTCACACAAAAAAAGCTTGATATTATAAAGTTTGATATTAAGACTTCGCTGTACTCTTGCCTGTTATGCAAGGTTAAACACCGTACATGTTGTAGTATTACACTCAGACTTTCTATGAGAATATTGGAGAAACAAAATTTAAAGACTCAAAGGGGAAGCTGAGGAAAGGGAAGTTAATGGAGAATAACAAAGAAACCACTACAATAGAAACTTAAAGAAAAAAATAGGGTTGGTATATTACTTACATTTATATTTTGGGGTGGAGTGGGCATTGACTCTCTCTAAATTATATAGTCCCAGTTTTAAAAAACAAACCAGCGTCTAAATAAAAGCATGGTGTTAATATCCGTCGTGCTTTCGTGGCACTGTGTACTTCCTGTCAGGTAACTGAAAAGCAGAAGCAGAACCACGACTGCTTTTATGTGGCACAGAAAGATGCCCTGAGCAGCGGCACAGCTGGTCGTGGTATTCTAGGCTGTCCTGCCTCCAGCACAGTTATGTTGACTCTTCTTTAATTTTTTTCTGTCTAATGTGCTCTAGGAAGAAGGGGTTTGGTGGAACTGCAGGAATGGCCTATGTTGGAACAGTCTGCTCCAAAAGCCATGCAGGAGGGATTAATGTGGTAGGATATCTTTAATACCCCTTTAAATAAAACTTTTACGTGAACTCTGTGTCTTTAATATCAAAGGAGACAATATTAAGGATCTGACTTAACCTCTAGAAGCAAGAGAATTCTTACTAGCTGCTGCTTTCTGCCTCCTTTAACTCTCCCCTTTGTATACGTACTGCAACTCAGAGTCCCAGATTAGGTCATGTTCTAAGACCTTAGGAGCTGTCAGTGCCCTTCCTCTGCAGGCAGCATTGAGTATCAAAGGCCTTGCTCCTTTCTGAGAGGCGCTGAACACCCATATCTCTGGTTGAAGTCAGTGGGAGCTATGGGTTGTTGTGATAATTGGATCTACACATTTACCCTACTTGTGAGCTCAACTGTAAAAAGTGAAAGTTCAGAAAATGTCACGATAACTTGTACTAACATGCTGATGGGGAAAAGGTGCAAAAAAGGGACAGACTGAATCAGTCCAAAAAAAAATGGTATTTCGGTATAATTCAAGGACATTGTTAGATCGTGTCTGGTAAACAACAACAGTATGAGACCGGAAATCAATTCACCAAAATTGGTGTGTCAGAAACTAGACCTAATTGGTGGGGGCCTTAAAAAAAAAAAAAGGGGGGGGGGGGAGAGAGTGAGAGGCTGCTAGGGAAAGACTGGGCTGACTGAAAGAGAAGAGGAAGGAGCGAGCTTCGCCATCATGGCTGCCAACTCAACTGTATCCTAGGGCCCCAGACCTTCTTTTTCCCAATCCTGAAAGATGTCCTGACCAGCCTGGGCCAGAAAGAAGTAGCCAGATGACTTGGCCACCTCCTTCAGCTCTGGCTGAATCCCCAACATCACCTGGGATGTGAAAGTTTGTCATTGATCCCTCCCCGTGTGTGTTCCTTTCCTTCCCCACATTATGCCTTCTCTTTTCTGTCTCTTTCCTCTTTTGTTTAATAAGTCCAGCTTAGGTTGCCAAAATTATATTTTGCAATACTGCTGTAAGCCAGTAACCAGAAAGAAGCAGCTAAAAGCAGTGCTGTAAACAACCCAATGCAGGTACAAAATTGCCAGGTCTCAGAGTGGCTAATAAAATTGTGCGCTGGGCCTGTGTTTTTTTCCAGCTGTGAAGTTGCAAGTGAAAGACGATACCAAAGACAGAAACTGCATTTTCTATCTTCGCTGTGCTTTTCTCTCCCTTTGTTATGTCTTGTTTTTCCTTCTAGGAAATGGGACTGGACTTTAACAACAGCAGCAACAATGACCGCTCCAGCCCATCTAAATTAACTTCTTTTTTCCCCCCAAAAGGACAAGTAGTTATTACCATTACAATCTGAAAGACTGTCAAACAAGGGTTTTTTTTTCTCTTTCTAAAAACGTTACCCAGCTTAAAGGAAGAAGAAAAAGGAATGATGTTAAAATGAATGTCTTATTTAATACTTCACATTTCAAGTGCTTTAACTGTTTTTCCTTCCTTTCTGTATCTTTAATAAAAAATTAAAAGGACTTCTGCCATGGTACTAAGCAGGCTGAGGTCTCTGTGTACCACACTCTGAACCTTGTTTAATACCTTTTCATGTTGGACAGTGCCTGGTTTGTTTTAACACCTTTCACTCTTTGGACCCATATATCCCATCTAAATTAATACAGCAAAGTGCTCCTCTAGAAATCTATCCCCAAGTCTGTGCATGACTTTTGGATTCACAAAGAGCACTCCCAAATCAGAGGGCAAGGATTTAGCTAGGCAACTGTCCTGTTGCATGAAACTGCAATGTAACTTCAGTATCACTGTTGTGAAAATTAGAGATTCACAGCGCTATGACTGTGAGAAACTAAAGCGATATGCAGGTGGGGCTTTTCAGCCACTCCACAAGCAGCAGCAGGAGCAGATTTCAATAAGGAGTCAATTAACAGAACTCCTCATTTAGACCGTTTGCCAGCACCAAAATCATCACTGTGCAATCTCACTTCCTTGGAATAGTTACAGAAAACTTGCACCAGAGATACTCAAATTGCTGCTTGCGTGGTTATGAAAGGAGGTGTGCATTGGTCTGGGGGTGAAGAAAAGGCAGTTGTTTAGTTCCTGGGCTAGTAATGCAGTGGCTGATGATCTGTCTAATTCTGCATGGGTAGGTGTGATGCCCCACTGGTGTAAACAGCAATGCCCGGTGTTCTGGAACTTTAGCTGTGCCATAGTGCAGACGTGGTGGCAGATGGATACCACATGTGTTTTTAGTCTAACTGATGTCACTCCTGGATTTATAGAACAGCCTTGTAGCTGCAGTAGTGTTCAGTTCCTCTGTTCCACCATGATTTCAACAATTTCCATCCCACCACCAACCTCAGCCTGGTCCAGTCCACACAAGAGATCCACTTCCTGGACACTACAGTGCTAATAAACAATGGCCACATAAACACCACCCTATACCGGAAACCTACTGACCGCTATTCCTACCTGCATGCCTCCAGCTTTCACCCTGACCACACCACACGATCCATCGTCTACAGCCAAGCTCTGCGATACAACCGCATTTGCTCCAACCCCTCAGACAGAGACAAACACCTACAAGATCTCTGTCAAGCTTTCTTACAACTACAATACCCACCTGCAGAAGTAAAGAAACAGATTGATAGAGCCAGAAGAGTTCCCAGAAGTTACCTACTACAGGACAGGCCTAACAAAGAAAATAACAGAACGCCACTAGCGGTCACCTTCAGCCCCCAACTAAAACCCCTCCAACGCATTATTAAGGATCTACAACCTATCCTAAAGGATGACCCAACACTCTCACAAGTCTTGGGAGACAGGCCAGTCCTTGCCTACAGACAGCCCCGCAACCTGAAGCAAATACTCACCAACAACCACATACCACACAACAGAACCACTAACCCAGGAACTTATCCTTGCAACAAAGCCCGTTGCCAATTGTGCCCACATATCTATTCAGGGGACACCATCACAGGGCCTAATAACATCAGCCACACTATCAGAGGCTCGTTCACCTGCACATCCACCAATGTGATATATGCCATCATGTGCCAGCAATGCCCCTCTGCCATGTACATTGGTCAAACTGGACAGTCTCTACGTAAAAGAATAAATGGACACAAATCAGATGTCAAGAATTATAACATTCATAAACCAGTCGGAGAACACTTCAATCTCTCTGGTCACGCAATCACAGACATGAAGGTCGCTATCTTAAAACAAAAAAACTTCAAATCCAGACTCCAGCGAGAAACTGCTGAATTGGAATTCATTTGCAAATTGGATACTATTAATTTAGGCTTAAATAGAGACTGGGAGTGGCTAAGTCATTATGCAAGGTAGCCTGTTTCCTCTTGTTTTCCCTCCCTCCCCCCCCCCCCCCCCCCCAGATGTTCTGGTTTAACTTGGATTTAAACTTGGAGAGTGGTCAGTTTAGATGAGCTACTACCAGCAGGAGAGTGAGTTTGTGTGTGTATGGGGGTGGGGGGGATGTGAGAAAACCTTGATCTATGCAGGAAATAGCCCGACTTGATTATGTAAAGAGTTGTCACTTTGGATGGGCTAGCACCAGCAGGAGAGTGAATTTGTGTGGGGGGGTGGAGGGTGAGAAAACCTGGATTTGTGCTGGAAATGGCCCACCTGTTGATCATTTTAGATAAGCTATTACCAGCAGGACAGTGGGGTGGGAGGAGGTATTGTTTCATATTCTCTGTGTGTATATAAAGTCTGCTGCAGTTTCCACGGTAAACATCTGATGAAGTGAGCTGTAGCTCACGAAAGCTCATGCTCAAATAAATTGGTTAGTCTCTAAGGTGCCACAAGTACTCCTTTTCTTTTTGAGTTCCTCTGTTGTTGCTCATGCACTTAGTCACTGTGAGCTCTACATTCAGGTAGCTTCTCTACTAACAATCACAATTGACACTAAGTGACAGCCTTGAGGTTTTTGTAATGTGGATACCTACCCAGTGGAAATTGAACTGGGATCTCCCAATTTATTTCAGTAGGCAACTAAATTAGCCAGAGTTGCCTTTCAAACTGTTGACTTGGAGCAGAGATTCTCAAACGTTCCCATAATATGCACCAGATCTAATAGAGTGAAGATGACTCTGCCCATCCATGATCACATGACATCTCTGGGAATGGTGTATATGGAAAAGTAATAGTAAGTTATTCGACATAGTTCAACTTCTGTATGCTGTGTAGCAGCTAGAAACAGAGAAGAGAGAACACCGCATGACAGACAAGTAGGTGCTCCACAGGCCACCAGGGGTCCTGGACCAGAGCTGGAGAACAATTAAGCTAGAGACACAAGCCTCTATATTCTATTATCAATCTACGGTCAACTATGTACTTGTACAAGTTAGAAAGCGTAAACCGTCTAGGTACCCGACTCTGAAGATCACGTTAATGCAGTGACTAAGCCTGGTACTAAGTTTCTGAAGGGGCTGGGGGAAAATGGGCTTCGTCCTAGTACAGACACGACGGTAATTCACTCTTTTTGTTTTGGTCTTGTGTAGTTTGGGCAAATCAGTGTGCAGATGTTTGCGTCAATTGTTGCTCACGAGCTGGGTCATAACCTGGGAATGAACCATGATGATGAAAGAGTTTGTCAATGTGGAGCAGAAAACTGTATTATGAACTCGGGAGCATCGTAAGTAACTTTCCTTTATGCCAGGTTGGAGGATATGTTCATAGATGATGAACAAAGATTTATAGGACACCGTTACTATTGAAAACATTCTTATAAACAGCTAATTAATTTTCACAACATGCTTAGGAGGAAGGCAAATATTAGGGGTTATCTACACATGAAGTTAATGCAGAATAAACTAAGATGTCCACTTAAAGTGGACTAAACTCAACTGCTACTCCTGATGCCATTCTGCACCAAAAAATTAATAATTCTGCACACAGTATTTTAAAATTCTGCAAATTTTATTTGTCAAATAAATGTGGAGGCTCCAGCATGGCATTGGGGAGCACAGGCCACTGGTGCTGGTGGGAGATCACTGTGCAGCTCCCCCCGCCCCCAGGACATGGACTTAACGGTGAGGCTGCACCCAATCCTGACACAGCGCAAAGACTGGGCCTGCCCCAGAAACACCCCAGGCCCTGCTCTTCTGTGCTAGGTGCACCAGGAGTGGGCAGGCAGGATCAGCAAGGCAGGATCCAAGTGTGGAGGAGCTTAGTGTGGGGGGATCCAGGTGTGGGTTGAGAGGGTTCTGTGTGGGGCAATCTGGGTGTGGGTGGCTCAGTGGGGGATGCAGTTGTTGGGGGGGATCTGGATTCTCAGGGGCTTGTGGAGGGGTTCTGGGTACAACAGTAATGGGACTCTGCAGGGGGGTCCAGGTGAAGGTGGTTGGGGCTCAATGGGGAGGTCTGTGGGGGGGGGAGACAGAGCTCGGCAGGGAGGTTGGGGTGTGGGGAGCTCAGTGGGGGAGGTCCAGATGCTGGGGGAGTAGGGCTCAATGGGGTGGGGATCCAGGTGCAGCTGGTTGGGACTCGGTAGGGTGGGGATCTGGGTGCGAGTGGCTTGTTGGGATGGTCCAGGTGCAGGGGGAGTGGGGCTTGTCGGAGGGGTTCTGGGTGTGGGGTGTGTTTGGGGCTCAGCGGGAGGGTCTGAGTATGAGGTGGGGGCAGATGCGGGAGCAGCTCCCTGTAGAATGATCCCTCCTGCTGCAGCTTAGGAGCAGTGGGTGCAGGAAGCTCCTGCAGTGGCGGAGAAATCTGGGGGTGGGTCTGACACAGCCCCAGATGCCGTGTAGGGGAAGAGGAAGTCCAGTCCTCCCCAGCCCAGCTGGGACAAGCAGCTGAGCCCAGTGCAGGGTAGGAGGCACCAGCTGGGTCTTTACTAGTCCCGTTCCCAGCCCCACAGTGGTCTGTCTCTCTGCCGGCTGCCCTGGGTACCCAAAGCATACTGCTGGAAAGGGTCATATGACTGCTCTTGTGGCTTCCCTTTGCCTCCCCGTCAGAAAGTAATTTTTCTGTGGGGAAGCAAAGAAATCTGTACGGGACATAAATTCTGCGCATGTGCAGTGGCGCAGAATTCCACCAGGAGTAAAACTGCACAAAGGCACTTTTAGTGCAGAATAAGAAATGTCCACAGGGGGAGCTAGTGTGGAATAGCTATTACACTTTAAATTCACACCCTAGCTTATTTTCATTAGCTTGCTCTGTGGACAACCCTATATTATCCTTGTGTTTGGGAACTGAAAGGTTACATGACTTAACTCAGGAGTTCATGGATCCCAGACCTTTGTTTAGATGACACCTATTCCCTTGTATTATTTTTCTGATTTTGACTCTGTTCGTTATTTTGTCATCAGGAGGTTATATAATTGAACTCATGGTACTATTTAAATATTTTCTTAATGGGTGGTCAATTTTCCTTTAAGTAAAGATTTTTGCTTTATGAATGTAGCAGAAAGATTTATGCCTCATTCCACATTTAGAGGTATCTTACTATATTGTCCTCATCTGTCTCTAGCTGTTGGCTCTAATTTTTGCTAGACTGACTCTTTATAGCACAAGAATGCTGGTTAAGAATAACTCATAAGTAAACATAGTGTAAAGAATTGCTAATATATTCTGTTGCAGAGGGTCCAGAAATTTCAGCAGCTGCAGTGCAGAAGACTTTGAGAAGTTAACTCTGAACAAAGGTGGAAGCTGCCTGCTTAATGTTCCCAACCCTGATGAAACCTATAGCATCCCATTTTGTGGCAACAAGTTGGTGGATGCTGGGGAGGAGTGTGACTGCGGTTCACCAAAGGTTAGTAACTGGGACAGTTCACCAATGTTGCTCACGTGACTCTATGTTAAATGCAGTCTGCCTGCATTTCTGCACGGGTGCAGATATGATTTGTTTATCATTAACTAAATTACTCTTACTTCTTTAATTTACAGGAATGTGAAAGTGATCCTTGCTGTGAATCAGATACTTGCAAACTCCGAGCAGGGGCTGAATGTGCGTATGGCGACTGCTGTAAAAAATGTCAGGTAAGGGATCCCAGGATGGTGTTGGAAGAATCTTATGGCTTAAAGCATTCTCCACTGACTCTGAGGAAAAAGGAGTGCCAGGCTTGATTAGTGGGTCCAGGAGGGAAGTAGTCTCTGTTGAGCTGGGAAGACTTTTGCATGTGTCCAGCACAAAAGTGTGACTTCAGCAAAGTGCATGTTCAGTCTTGTTAGGCTGTTTTTGGATTTATTTTCAGAATGTATATTGATGTATGGCTTTTTACATCTTCACTTGGGATTTTATTTTTCCTTTTTCCTCCCCTTCCAGTTTCTTCCAGGAGGCACTGTGTGCCGGGCAAGTACCAATGAATGTGATCTCCCAGAGTACTGCAATGGGACCTCCCAGTTCTGTCAGCAAGACGTCACTGTTCAGAATGGGTACCCGTGCCAGAATGATGAAGCCTATTGTTACAATGGGGTTTGCCAGTACTACGATGCGCAGTGTCAGGCTATCTTCGGCTCAAGTAAGGATGATGATTGTAATGTTTCGGAGGGCCATGGCTAAAAGAGAGAAAACACCCAATTTGTTTACGAATATGGATTTTAGGTTATTTTAGTTTATAAGAAAAGACCAGCTGGAATTGGCAAAGGATTTTAAACTCTTTCTGGCATTTATGACAAATTAACTTCTGTTGTCCCATAAAATTCGTTGCTGTGCTGTGGATTCAAGTACTACTAATTTCCTTGCTATGATATACTCACCTTGTCAGATTCTATTTATAAGGCTAAATCTATTCATCAAGACTTAATGTCCAGCTAATAATATTTCTTTCTAAGTGACTGTATTGTCTCTCAGTACTGTTAGCTTGGAACCTGTCCGGACCAACAGTTTTACCCCATTTGTGTATTTTGGTCAAGCTTTCCAACTATTCATGCTGCAGATGCGACATGGGTTTTGGGGCTAGAGAGAAGTACGTGCACAGTGTGAGATGCTTCTCTGACTCTCTGTTAGCTGACCTGGTTACCCCTCTGTCTTTGCAGGAGCAAAGGCTGCCCCTAACATTTGTTTTGCTGAAGTGAATTCCAAAGGTGACAGGTTTGGCAACTGTGGTTACCATGGCAATGACTACAAAAAGTGTTCCAGCTGGTGAGTTCGGTTTAATGAGGGAGGGAATGTATAACAGGTATCATTCAGAAAGTCTCCAAAAATCCACATTCAGAGGCCTTAGAATTATCCAGCGGTCAAATCTTTATACATAGCACAGCTTGATAATAGAGATTTGTCATAGACACACACTGCCCCATAATCTGCCTTCACAAATGCTGTGTGTGTCTTTCAAAAACCAAAATAGAGTAGCTTAGAAAAGTTCTTTTAAAGCCTTAAATTTTGAATCTGCGTTATTGGAGCTTAGGTTACAAATACATAAATGTACAAAAAATTTCAAATTACTTTATAACTCTATTATAATATTAGTCTTTATCTAAATGGGCATGAATTTTTCAAACAGTTCTTGCTGTAAAGTTTAATAAATTAATGTATAAAAAGAGGCATCTTGGAAATAACGAACCTGCACTTTGAATAATGGTGTCATGTAGACATGCTCTTTCGCTGACTTTTTTTTTTCCATTAGCTACATAATGGTGGTGCAGGGGTGTATTTGCTTTTGTTTGAGGATCACAAACTTTTGCCAAGAGCAGGGGTAAATCCATATCCTCATTGTGGTTTTAGACTGATGCACAGCTCACTTTTGTTCTGCTCTTCACTTCAGTGTGATGTTAGTATTTGGGAGTGTATCTCATCTGATCTTTAATAATCGTCCATTAGGAAAGGAAGGCAGAAAGAATTAAACACCAGAATCATAACAGTCCTTAAATTATACTATTGTTGTAGGAATGCCATGTGTGGGAAGCTGCAGTGTGAGAATGTGAAAACCATGCCTGTTTTTGGGATTGAACCTGCGATTATTCAAACCCCCATCAGAGGCACTACGTGTTGGGGTGTGGATTTCCAGCTAGGATCAGATGTTCCAGATCCTGGAATGGTGAATGAAGGCACAAAATGTGATACTGGAAAAGTAAGCAATAACAAATTAATAACCTTAAAAGATTCCTAGGAAAAACCTAAATGAGTTGTTAGATGTGTGTATATCATTTGCAGCTCCTTGTTTACATGCATACACATACATATTAATTCACCTTCATGTTGGTGCATGCAACTAATGCCAAACTTAACAATTCATTACTTCCCCATCTCCTCCTTCCCCAACACTAAGTGAGTAACACTCTCCCTGGAAATGGACTCTGTGAATAAATTTCTTTGAACGGAAGTTCTTTTTAGAAGAAACAAAAGCAAGTGTTAAGTTTGGATAAGGATCTCTGGAAATCAGTGATCAAGAAGAACTAGCTATACAAAAACTGCTTTTCAGGCAACGGGTGGAAATTCAGGTCTGCGTCCATACATTGTAATTATCAAGCTGGCTGAAAAGGAGAGAGAACTATTTCCTTCCTATAGTTCAGCATAGGGGCTGCACCTAACTCTTCCCCGGCAGTGGTATGGTACCTTGCTATCTGTACATTTGTACCATGGATGATTCTGATACTACTGCTCTGTATTAAGGCCTTGTGGGAAGGATTTTAGATGAAAATGCAGCTCATTTGCAACAAACCTTATAAATTCCTTATTACAGCAAACAAGTTTATATCAGTCTTAAAGCTTCCAGGGTTAGAGAAGAATGTGCATTCTTCAAGTGGTGTGAGCTTGCCGTGGAGCACTAATTGAAGGTAGCGTGGAAGTAGCACAGGCCGTGAACTCATAAACTGAGCAAGAGTCCGGGGTAAAACAGGTGTTGGAGAACGGGAGGGGAGGAAGTGTGGGAGGTGATAGTATTAGTTAGTCCAGAACCATCTTATTTGGATTGGGGGTACTCTTGTGTCTTTTTACTTCCCTAGGTCTGTAGGCACTTCCAGTGTGTAAGTGTCTCTGTTCTGAACTATGACTGCGATGTGGAGAAAAAATGCCACGGACATGGGGTAAGTCAGGCATAAAAGTCCCCTTCTATTCTGATCCAGCCTGGTCTGAAAGTCCTGCAGTATTTCTTGGGTGTTTCTCATATTGGGCAATATCGTTTTCTCGGGGTGCTCTTCAGTAAGAAAGCTCAGATTCATAGATCTTTAAGGTGTGAACAGACCACTATATCATTGAGTCTGACTTTGTTTTATGGAATTTCACTCACCTCTGTATTCAGCCCAGTAACTTGTGTTTAATAATTAGCTGTTTTAGTGCTACAAACCTTTCATTGCTCTCTACCTAAAGAATGTAACTAACACAGGGGTGGGCAAACTATGGCCCGGGGGCTGCATCCGGCCCTCCAGATGTTTTAATCCGGCCCTCAAGCTTCCGCCGGGGAGCAGGGTCTGGGGCTTGCCCTGCTCTGGCGCTTCAGCTGGGGAGCAGGGTAGGGGACTTAATCATAGAATCATAGAATATCAGGGTTGGAAGGGACCTCAGGAGGTCATCTAGTCCAACCCCCTGCTCAAAGCAGGCCCATCTCCAACTAAATCATCCCAGCCAGGGCTTTGTCAAGCCTGACCTTAAAAATAAATAACTTGCCCCACTCTGCGTGGCTCCCAGAAGCAGTGGCATGTCTCCCCCTCTGGGTCCTGTGCGTAGGGGCAGCCAGGGGGCTCCACATGGTGCCCCCGCCCCAAACACAACCCCTGCAGCTTTCATTGGCCGGGAACTATGGCCAATGGGAGCTGCAGGGGTGGTGCCTGCAGACAGGGCAGTGTGCAGAGCCGCCTAGCCGTGCCTCCGCATAGGAGCCAGAGCGGGACATGCCACTGCTTCTGGGAGCTGCTTGAGATAAGCACCGCCCAGAGCTGGCACCCCTGACCCCCTCCTGTGCCCCAAACAGCTGTCCCAGCCCTGATCCCCCTCCTGCCCTCCAAACCCATCGGTCCCAGCCTGGAGCACCCTCTTGCATCCCAGATCCCTCATGCCCAGCCCCATCCCAGAGCCTGCACCCCCAGCCAGAGCCCTCACCCCCTCCTGCACCCCAACCCACAATTTTGTGAGCATTCATGGCCCGCCATACAATTTCCATACCCAGATGTGGCCCTCGGACCAAAAATTTTGCCCACCCCTGAACTAACAGAAAGCTCTTTAATGTAGAAACACTGCTTTTTGTTTGAAAGCCCTAGAGGGCCGGCTTTATTATGTGAAGTTGCTTTTCTGTGCAGTTAACATGAAAGTCACCTTGATGTTCCATCTTCACTGGCTATTAAATAATGTGAGCTGAACAGGTTTTAAAACCTGTTTTAATACAATGTTTTTTCTGGCTAGTATAACCCAAGCATTACTGTTTACAAAACTGTTTTTTTAATACAACTGTTTATAGGCTGCCTAGTCCAGAAATGATTTTGTTTAAACAGAGTTTATAAAATGGAGTTTTAAGATTATTTATATTTGGCAGGCAAAACAGTGTTTAAACAGGTTTCAAACCCAGTCTGGCCAGCATAGTTTGATTACTATTGCGGATGGACACTGAAGGAAAATAAGACGCAAAATTTTAACAGTGAGGGTAATTAACCATTGGAACAACTACCTAAGGGATGTGGTGGATTTTCCAGCACATGCAGTCTTTTAGAAAAATGCTCAATCTTGGTTTTAAAAAATGCTGTAGCTCACCCACAAGTTATTGGGCTGGATGCAGGAATTACTGGGTGACATTCTCTCGCATGTGTTATGTACAGGGTCAGACTAGATGATCACAGCGATGCCATTTGGCCTTAAAATCTATGAAAACCTCAGAGACTAATTGTTGCAACTTAGATACACACTTACTGAACAAAAATAAATGTATGTATAAAAATGAACATTATAATGAATTTTTTAAAAAGTTTTGAGAAATGTCTGCCAACATCTCACAAGCTACATAACTATAACCCTCGTCGTCGAAGTGGAAGCTGCCTTTGTATTGATGAAGCATAGCACTTGCTGCTGAAAGTGCAGTTGTCTGGTTCAGAATAGGCATAAGCATGCAGAACTGATTGGAAAGCAGGGACTTCAACATTGTTGGAAGAGAAGTTCTAGTACTCTGGGTTACTGTAACAGTGGCTAAAGCTTCAGAAGGGCATGGGTTTGGGGATTTTTAGTTCTTTTTAAATTAAACTCCTCTTCTTTTTCATACATTGCAACTGTTTTTGCCTTCTCAGTCCTTCTCTAGTTAATCAGAAACATTGGCTTATCAGCAAATTATGTCCCCGTGCTTCACAAATGTATAGTAAACAGATAACATGTTTATAACTTATCTCACAACCTTCCTTTGCCACAGTGTCATTTGCTGCTGGAATGATAGTCTTGGAGGGGGTGGCTTAGAGGCTGTGGGAGCATTTCACAACCTACTGCTGCACTAAGGACAGCTTTCAGTCCAGTACAACTGGTTTTAAGATCACATTGAGCAGATTGTGGGGAACGATTCTGTGTATAGAAACGAAGTACTAGTTCTTCTTCAAGTGATGGCCCCTATGTGTGTATTCCATGGTAGGGCACACATGCACTTTGAGACCAGACACTTTATACTAGTAGTGTGCATTGGTCCGCGCCTCTGCCTCCATGTGCTCTGAACCAAGGACATTAGGGGATACCCTCCAGTTCCTCTCTACCTGCCCTCCTTCCCCTCTGCTTCATATCCTTTCCTAGAGTGATTTGCATTAGAGAAGGAACTGGAGAGGTAGTTGGTCCGTGCCTCCTCTTATACCCTCTGTTTGGAGCACAAAGCTGCACAGGGTGTAGGTGCAGACCAATGAACTGCTACCAAGAATTTTTCCAGTCCCCGACCCATGAAACCCATGTGGACCCCACCGTGCAATACACATAGGGACCACGCATCTCAAAAAACTCTAGTAACGGCAAGCTAAGTATCCTTTCTTTTTGATGCAGTAGCTGTTTTTCAGTCAATCATTTCCCGTTCTTTTGGAACCTTCTGTTTCAGAAGTTGGGCTGTAACCTTTGAAGACACCTTGCAGCATTTCCTCTGCCAGTTGCTGGATCAGTCTTATGTGGAGTTACAGTCACAATGGCAGTAATATGTGGGTGTTTTTGTTTTTTTAATTTAAAGGTGTGCAATAGCAACAAGAACTGTCACTGTGACTCAGGTTGGGCCCCTCCCTACTGTGACACGAAAGGATATGGAGGAAGCATAGACAGTGGACCTCCTTATAATGGCAAGTAGTGACAAGGTGACTTCAGGGCAGCATGCCCTTCTTGCTGTTGGTGCTATTTGGACAGAGTGTGCAAATACAGTGCCTAGTTGTCTGGCTGTCCTGGGAAATGAGACTGGCTGATGTGCTGGTGGTTGAAACTGCAGTGAGATTTCTTTCGAGCACAAGAGCTTAGGCTTTGGATCTTGTAGTGCTGGAGACTTCTGTCCTCCAGAATGTTGGAAATCTTGCAATGCCAGCTGTTTTTAGATGACTTCTGTCATCCTGGGCCAAAATCTTTCAAGAGTAGTTGTGTCCAAACTGGAAGTGGGGACCCATTCCAGTTTTGAATCCAACCTAGAACTAAAATTTGTAAGGCGGGGCCAATTTGAATCTGTCGATTCCAATCTATACATTCAAAATGTGAAGGCCTGTTTCTAGAAATAACGGCAGATGGAAACAGCTGTTTTATGTACAATTGCATGCACAGTCTGAGTAAACACCCATAATACTTGGGGGAGGGAGGGGGGTGTTCTCTTTCCTGCAGGCATATACACCTGCAGTGTAAATGTGTGACTTATGCGTCATGAAGGGGAGTTGGGGTACTATGAACATCATACTACTACATTACCATTTAATTAGCATTTATTATCTGTGTGCAGATTGTGCTTCATGTTGCACTAAACACAAATATAGCGCAGTCCCTGCCTCAAAGACCTTTTGGTCAGTTTAGTATGTTTTTTGGTTATTGTTTTGTGAAATCTCACTCCTGGAGGCTTTAGACAGACATGGGTTAGTGTCTGGAGCCTAGCAGAAAAAGTATGTCTTTAGGAGGGACATGGATGATGAGAGAGTGATAGTCTGGTGCACTGGGGTTGGGAGGGCATTTCATGTGTAAAAGAGACTATTGGAAAAGGAACTGAAGAGAGTTGTGAAGCTTGCTTGCTTGCATGGCTGGGCAAGGGGGATGTGGTAGGAAACAGGATCCAAGTTGTAGCCTGGGGCAGACTGGTGCAGTACCTTCAAGGCAAGGAGCGACCTGATATGGTAAGCAATGGGGAGCCAGCAGAGATAGAGATGAGGACAGGAGTGACATGGTTTGCAATAGGTCAGGAGGATAACACTGACAGCTCTTTTGGATGGAGTAATAGGGGTCTAGGGGAAGTCAGTTGTAGTTACTGAGCTGAAAAATCACTCTCTAGAGTATAGAAAAGTGTGTGAACTATCAGGAGAGAAAGGAAGGGGCATAAAAGCTCCGTGTAGAGGGATGGACTAGTGACCTCCTTGAGATCCCTTTGAGTCCCACATTTGTATGATTCTATGACTTTTCATACACTATGTTGTGGAGAAAGATGCCACAAGCCTTGGGGACAGCCTGGATGAATGGAGAAGGGGAGGATGACTCTAAGGTTGTGAACCTGAGCTAAGGGAGGATAGTGGTCTTTCCCACAGCAATATGTGAAGAGGATTTGAGGGGAGTGGGGGAAGAGGGGAGCTCTGTATCAGCCCCATTTAACTTGAGCTGGTGACAGGCCCTTCAGGATGATACATGGAAGAGAGTCTGTTACTACTATATTACTGTGCTACACTATTATAGCACAGGAATATTGGAGAACGTACGCTTTACTCTTCTTTGACATGTTGTCCCTTTTGAAATGACCACCAAAAATAACACATTGGGCATGCACCTGGCAATTATACTGAACTTTAGCTTTTCTTTTCTACAGAATGGTGGGAAATTGTAGAATCAGTCCTTTCAAAACCCAGCACTATTGCAGTGCTTAGTAGTGATAGTACTATGAAAACTAATTCTGTCGGATTTTCTTTCTCACCCTCTCCCTACCAGACAAAGACACCTCCTTGAGAGATGGGTTGCTGGTATTCTTTTTCCTGGTTCTTCCACTCCTTTTAGCTGCTGCTGTGGCACTTGCAAAGAGAAAGGCGCTGAAGCAGTGGTTCAGGAGAACGATGTCACATTGTCATCGGTAAGTAGATTTCCCACCCCTACCCCTGATACTTCATGAACTGACCACAGAGTCCTCTACAGAAGATGATTCCAAAGACTTGAGTGTCAGTAGTCCTGAGATGTAAACCTGAGATCCCCACGAGTGGAGATCAGGCAGGTTTATTTCATGCAGTTGCAGTACAGGAGGCAAGTGACCTGATATCAATGCACCTCAGGCCATTTCTTTAAGTGTCATTTGATGTTGTCTGTTTCTGTTTTCTGGGCACATTCTTTGGGACAAAGGAACATTATTTATCTATTCCTTGAAAGAGAGAGGCTCACAATATGTCTGGACATATGGACCTGTAAAGAGTGATATACATTTTACTGACGAATTTAGGGAATAAAATAATAGTTTTTAAACACACACTTAAATCCAGCCAGTATGTATCTGTAAGAAGTGTCATAACATGTTGATGATGATCCTATTGAATTCTAGTAAGATGCTTGACCAGTCCATGTGGTCAATACAAATCTAATTCCAGATCACATACAAGCATGCCAACTCCTCCTCCTCGCACAGAGACGGACCGAAGAAACTTCCAGCAGAACATGCCTTATACTTCGAGGAGTGTACCCATGGTAGGTGAGACTTGTTTTTTCTCACTTCAGTCTTGGAGAGCAATTATTGTCTGTTTTGAAATTAACAGAGTGGATAGAAGGTTGAATTGGTAAATGGATAATAAAAGCAAGAATTACTCCAAAACTATTACTACCTGTGTTTGGTTGGTGGGTTCTTTGTTTTGTTTTTTGTTTTGATTTTTAAAGCAATATAATCTCGTTTCTCAGCTCTTCCCCCCGCCCCCACCTGTAATGTATACATTGTAAGAAATGCTAATGACTACAATTGCTGTAGGATCTAAAATTTTACAGTAATAGCCTATAAATTATAATATAGGCTATGCATGATGAATCCCTTTCTTATTTTTCTGTACTCCTTATGGTGCTGTTGAACCAACCAATAATATTAATGAGGAAGATATCCTCTGAAGCCCAAAAGTTTTCAAAGAAGAAAATATATAAGTAATTCCAAGTATAGTGCATTATTGATATTGCAAAGCTACAGTAAAAATACCATCTTGGAAACACAACTGAGAGATTGCAGTCTCATTAAATGTTTAAGATCTATATATAAAATGTGCTTTAAAATAGAGATGGTACATACTAACATCTTGTCTAGATTTTTCTACTGACCTATAATGCACTCCTACATCTAATTGTGACAAACTATTAAAGGTGACTGCAAAGTCTTCAATCAAAATATAGTAATGTTGTTCCCTTTTTGTTACATACCACATCAGATTGTTGCTAGGAAATGAGGTTATTTTAATCAGGAGGCTTTTATTTTAAATAAAGTAAAACTTTTTTTGGGTGGTGGGAAGGACTAGGATTAGATGATTTTAGTTTTATCCGTTAAACATTTCTCAAGCAGCAACCTTCTAAAGCACATCAGGATTTGCCATTTTGTAATATCAATAGATAGGCCAACTACATATTGAATGTAGTACCTTACTATCTGTAATAGAAAGGGGTGTTGCCAGTGAGGAAATGGATTATTTTCTTAACTTCTTAGTAATTAAATTTAAGGGAGGGGGAATGGGACTCTTATGGTTTATGTTGCTTAAACTGTCTTTGAGAGCCAACTGGAAGTGCATTCTCTGAAACCACAAGCAGTCTAGAAAGTATTGTAGTTTGAAAATGAAAGAGTGCTGATCAGGGACACTGTGGCTCACCATACCCAGAGCAGACTCTTCTGCACCTCAGGTTTCCCCTTCTGCATTATCTCCATTTCAGAGAGGGGTAAATCAAAGCACCGTTAAATGACATAGGGTCATCAGAGTGTCTCTTAGATAGAGAGCCACATGTTCTTGATCAGCATTTCTCTATTTTCAAACTACAGTACTCTAAACTTCTGTCACTTTTAAGCTGTCTGGAACTGACGTAATACCATTTAGCTGATGAGCATGAAATAGCATTTCTGTATTTCCCCATTATATCTCCAAATCTGCTAGTGAGTGGCCCAACATTCCAGTGAAATTACTAAAGAAGCAAATCTTCCTCCAGTTCCTGTTTGTGTGATTTTTTTTTTTTTTAATATCTGATGATCTTTATTTCCTCATAGGACACGCCAACAAACAGATTCACTGTGCCATCTTATGCAGTTAATCATCATCAACCAGCTTATCACCAGCCTTACAATTATCCTCAGCCACACCAGGAGCAGCAGCAGTATAAGATACCTGCAAGGTCTGTAATGACAATTTTGCTACTGGGGAAAATCCTTTATAATACATATCAAATGTAAAGTTGAGAACTTGAGCACACAATTTGGGGAAACTCATAGCTTGTCATTCTGACTCTAACCCTGTCTTTGGGTTCATGTGTGTAAGGGCTTTTCTCATATCATGTATACACCAAATAATAAAGCTACACATGTGAATGAAAGGGCCATAATAAAAAAGGGGTGCAATGAAATTTATAAAACATGTATGTTCTCTGATGACACCTCTTACACTCTTGATGGTAGGTACATTATTACAAAAAGTGTGGGTGCTTTCAATCAGCTTTGAGCACCAGTTGTATCTTTCTGTTTAGCTTCACTCTAAAAATATATAAAATACATATATACAACTTTTTTGGTTTAACCATTTATTTAAATGTATAAAATGTTGTATTGATGCCTGTGTCCTTAAGGTGCTAATTAATAAAGCACAAACAGACACTTATATAAAATAGTTTGTACTGTGTAGTAATTTGTGTTTTAAATTGGTTTTGGTAGAGGAAAAATTCACTCCAGAATGCTTAATTAGAGAAAGCAGTGTGACTTGGGAAATGTTAGAGGCTTCATATAGTATAGAAGAAAAAACCCTGTGCAGAGAGAGAGCGTTAGATGGGAGTCATTAGGGCAGAGGTGGCAGCTGAAATTATGGGAAGGAGGCACAGGGAGAGACCATCAAAGACATGACGCTAACACAGAGCAGGAGGAAGAGGGATCATTCTCTATCTGCATATAATGGATGTAATAATCTAAACTGACATCTTCGTCCCCCGTACAGGCCGCCTCCACCACAACAGAAAAACGTACCTCAGGGACACTATTTTCCTTCTCGACCTGCACCTTTACCTCCCATATAGTTTCTCTTTTACCCTCTCACAAGATGACCTGTTCACTAAAACCAAGCTGAAATTCTTTATCCTTCTTGCATCAAATGGCCCATGCTATCCCAGAGAGCCGTCATTCTGCAGTACTGGATATGGAAAATGAGATGGAAACACAAGGAATGTAAGATATTAAACAAAGATACCTCTACGAAAGCCACAGGAACAGAATACATCAAGTCTGTTCTTAGCTCCGTGTGTGAGTATTGTGGCTTTGCAAACTGAAGTTGGACTATCCAGTTGGAAGTGGATCAGTCTGCAGTAAAATAATGTTTAAAGTACAGCACTTGGGAGTTCCTTTTTGTTTCCCCCATCTTATGATGAGACACAATCATTAAATATTCCATGTGGCGTATTGTCTTTCTATATGCATAATGAAAAGTAAAAAACCTATTACCCGGGTAGGTGTCAAAAAATGGAACCATGAAAATCAGGCCACTTGATTTAACAAAATATTGTTTACATGTTCTTGTTTTGCCTGGACTAGAAACCATTATTCCTGTATATGCAACTAAGAGCACAAGTGAAATAAGATGTCAGTATATTTTGAAAGGAAGATGAACTACCCTATAAACATGTTTGTGTATATGTTTTTACTGGTGTGTTTAATATAAACACACTTTTTAAACAACAAAGAAAACTTTAACTTCATGCTGACTGACACTAGGCTATAGACAATAAAGGATACTAGGGCAGTTAATTTAAATGTTTTTTAAATACACAGTTTTAAGTAGCTAGACGAGAAACCTCTACTAATTTACCACTAATACTTTAAATGGGATATTAAAATAAAGGTACGAAAAATGGTAGCCTTTTCTTGTTTTAGGAAGGGAGTGCTCTTGAGTTTTGATTACGTTATAGACAGTCTGACAGCAAGAGCCATTGCAAAATATTAGGAGCAATGATGCATATGTTTATGTAGGCCCTTTGAGAATTGTTTGAGCACTTTATACCCTAGCACCCCACTGACCCCAATGTACATAATTTTAACCTACTTTTCAAATTTTGATTTTAGTGTCAGTCAGGATGTTGACACTGGCTAAAGCATGTTATTTTTAAAATCCGATTTAAATCTGTATCTGAAAAAAGATGCTCTTGGATGTCAATTGAGGTATGTTAACCCAGGTGCAGTTGGATTATGTTCCACTAGATTATGTTGACACAGTGTCGTAGATGCAGGACTGCCACGATGATGTGTTACACAAATTACAGAAGGTGAAAAACAATTACTGTTAAAAATAATGCTAAGCTTTCTCGTTTTGTCTTAGCCACTTAGCACAAACTCGTTTTGTAAATTTCCCCATATTTGCCAAAAAATCTGTGTCTGTATATATACTTATATAAATATATATAAAGTTTGTATTTGTAATAATAAAATACTTGAACTACTGTGGTTCCCCATAAACATAAAGAATAAGATTTAAACGCTATTAAAATATGTACTAGTTCATCAAAATATATCGCAAGGTGGGTTGTTTGTTTTTAGGATTATCATTGGCTTGTTTCTCTTCTCTCTTATGGGGGGTTGCTTATCTAAAGTTAACCAGGCTTTCTGTCTGCCTAAGGTACACTTCTTCCCAGGTCTTTTGTAGACAGTTCATGACATGAATGACTCAATGTACAGGGTGGGAGGGGAATCTAAGTTATGAAAATATCCCCAGAGAAAGGCCTGCTTAATTGTATTTAAACTTGTGAATGCCTATGCTATCACTGTGTTAAATTGTGTGCCTTTAATATTAATAGCGTTTTCACACTTCTAGCATACCATGAGCAATATTATGTGCAGAATAGGGCAGTAATGCAATAAGCCTCATGCTGAGATCGCTGTTTCTATGGAAATAAAGTAGCTCCTCAAATTTTGAACACATGGTGAATACTGAAGATGACTACTGAGGGCATGTGTAAGTCTAACAGCCCTAATGTCTGAATATTATTTGAACAATCACAACTTCGGCCTTAGTCTTGTTTGTAAATTGGGCTTGTCTACGGGCGCGGTGGGAGCTTGGACCTCGTGCTGTCTGGGCGGGGTGACAGAAACCCCCCACGCCGCCTTTCTAAGGGCTGAGCTACACGGAAGGGGCTTCTCTCGCCTGGGGGTTTTGTTTGTTTTTTAATAGTTATAATTAAAGATGCCAGTTTTGTAAAACCGCTGCCTCGCGTTGTCCTGCCTCTCTCGGGCTCCCCGCTCCCGGCCCTGCAGCCGGCGGCTCCCGCCCGCCAGTCCCGCCCGGGCCCGGGCCCGGCCCGCCGCCCAGGAGCCCCGGGGCGGGTCCGCCTCGCGCTCGGGACCCCGCTTCCCCCCGGGCGTGGCCGTTACCCGCCGGCCGCGCGCAGCATGGGGCGGGGGCTGCGCCTGGCGCTGCTGGCGGCCCTGCTCGCCGGCCTCGGTGAGGGGGGGGGGACCCGCGCTGCCCCCCAGCTACCCCCCCCGCCCTGCCCCACGGCCCGTTACCCCCCCGCTGTCCCCCGCCCCGTCACCCGCCCCGCCCTGCTCCCTGTTACCCCCCGCGCTGCCCCCCGTCACCCCCCCGCCCTGCTCCCTGTCACCCCCCGCGCTGCCCCCCGTCACCCCCCCGCTGTCCCTGCCCCGTCACCCGCCCCGCCCTGCTCCCTGTTACCCCCCGCGCTGCCCCCCGTCACCCCCCCGCTGTCCCCCCGCCCCGTCACCCGCCCCGCCCTGCTCCCTGTCACCCCCCGCGCTGCCCCCCGTCACCCCCCCGCCCCGCTCCCTGTCACCCCCCGCGCTGCCCCCGTCCCCCCCCGCTGTCCCCGCCCCGTCACCCGGCCCGCCCTGCTCCCTGTTACCCCCCCGCTGTCCCCCGTCACCCCCCGCTGTCCCCCGCCCCGTCACCCGCCCCGCTCCCTGTCACCCCCGCGCTGCCCCCGTCACCCCCGCTGCCCCCGCCCCGCCCTGCTCCCTGTTACCCCCCGCTGTCCCCCGCTGCCCCCCGCCCCGTCACCCGCCCCGCCCTGCTCCCTGTCACCCCCCGCGCTGCCCCCCGTCACCCCCGCTGCCCCCGCCCCGCCCTGCTCCCTGTTACCCCCCGCTGTCCCCCGCTGCCCCCCGCCCCGTCACCCGCCCCGCCCTGCTCCCTGTCACCCCCCGCGCTGCCCCCCGTCACCCCCCGCTGCCCCCGCCCCGCTCCCTGTTACCCCCGCTGTCCCCCGTCACCCCCCGCTGCCCCCCACCCCGTCACCCGCCCCGCCCTGCTCCCTGTTACCCCCCGCGCTGCCCCCCGTCACCCCCCGCCCCGCTCCCTGTCACCCCCGCGCTGCCCCCGTCACCCCCGCTGTCCCCGCCCGTCACCCGCCCCGCCCTGCTCCCTGTTACCCCCGCTGTCCCCCGCCCGTCACCCGCCCCGCCCTGCTCCCTGTCACCCCGCGCTGCCCCCGTCACCCCCACTGCCCCCGCCCCGCCCTGCTCCCTGTTACCCCCCGCTGTCCCCCGCTGCCCCCGCCCCGTCACCCGCCCCGCCCTGCTCCCTGTTACCCCCCCGCTGTCCCCCGTCACCCCCCCGCTGTCCCCCCGCCCCGTCACCCGCCCCGCCCTGCTCCCTGTCACCCCCCGCGCTGCCCCCCGTCACCCCCCGCTGCCCCCGCCCCGCTCCCTGTTACCCCCCGCTGTCCCCCGTCACCCCCCGCTGCCCCCCACCCCGTCACCCGCCCCGCCCTGCTCCCTGTTACCCCCCGCTGTCCCCCGTCACCCCCCGCTGTCCCCCCGCCCCGTCACCCGCCCCGCCCTGCTCCCTGTTACCCCCTGTCACCCCCCCGCTGTCCCCGCCCCGTCACCCGCCCCGCCCTGCTCCCTGTTACCCCCCGTCACCCCCCGCTGTCCCCGCCCTGTCACCCGCCCCGCCCTGCTCCCTGTTACCCCCTGCGCTGCCCCCCCGTCACCCCCCCGCTGTCCCCGCCCCGTCACCCGCCCCGCCCTGCTCCCTGTTACCCCCGCGCTGCCCCCCGTCACCCCCCGCTGCCCCCCACCCCGTCACCTGCCCCACCCTGCTCCCTGTCACCCCCGCGCTGCCCCCCGTCACCCCCCGCTGCCCCCGCTGTCCCCGCCCCGCCCTGCTCCCTGTTACCCCCGCGCTGCCCCCCCGCCCCGCCCTGCTCCCTGTTACCCCCTCGCTGCCCCCCGTCACCCCCCCGCTGTCCCCCGCCCCGTCACCCCCGCGTTGCCCCCTGTCAGCCCCCTGCCCCGCGCCGTCATCCCCTGACCCGTCACCCCCGCTGCCCCCTGCCCCGTCACCTCCCCCTGCCCCCCGCCCTGCCCCATGTCACCCCCCACTGCCTCCTGCCCCATCACCCCCCCGACCTGCCTGCTGTCAACCCCCTCCCCCGTGCTGGCCCCCCGTCACGTCACCCCTGCCCTGCCCCACAGTCCCCTAACCCCCCCCCCAGCCTCATCACACCCTTCCCTGACACCCCATCACCTCCTTAGGTAGAGACCCCCCTGCACTGACTGCTCCCTGACCCCCTTCAGCCCCTTGTCACCCGCTCTGTTGACCCCCACAACACCATGACACCCCTATGCTGATCCCCCACAGCCCCGTCACACCCTGCGCTGACCTGCATCACCTCCCCAAGGGAGAGACCCCCCCAGCCAGCCCTGCACTGCCCCCCCACAGCCCTGCACTCCACAGTCCCCTGCACTGATCCCCCATCCCCCCCAACGGAGAGACCCCCCCTGCGCTGACCCTCCACAGCCCCATGATCAGCTCCTGCATTGCCCCACATTATCCGTTAAGGAAGAGACCCTTCACAGACACACACCACCCTCCAGCCACCCCAAGAGGAAAGACCCCCTCCACAGTCACTGACCCCTGACGTATAGTCACCTGCTTCACTGCCCCTTCTCACAATCACTCCAAACTGGGAGAGATGCTCCCTAGTTACCTCCAACAGGAGAGAACCCCCGCCTCCCCTAACGTGAGACTACCCCACAGTCGCCCCATCAGGGTTCCCTCCCCACTCTGAACTCTAGGGTACAGATGTGGGGACCCGCATGAAAGACCCCCTAAGCTTATTTCTACCAGCTTAGGATAAAACTTCCCCAAGGCACAAACTCTTTTTCCCTTGGAGGGTAAGCTGCCACCACCAAGTGATTTAACAAAGAATCAGGGAAAGGACCACTTGGAGTTCTTATTTCCCCAAAATATCCCCCCAAGCCCTTGCACCCCCTTTCCTGGGAAGGCTTGAGAATAATATCCTAACCAATTGGTTACAAAGTGATCACAGACCCAAACGCCTGGGTCTTAGGACAATAGAGAAATCGTTCAGGCTCTTAAAAGGAACAGAACTTTATTAGAAAGAAAAAAGGTAAAAGAAGCACTTCTGTAAAATTAAAAGGGAAGCTAATGTCACAGGGCAATCAGATTTAAAACACAGAGGATTTCCCTCTAGGCAAAAACTTTAAAGTTACAAAAAGAAAACCAGGAATACACCTTCCTCTCAGCACAGAGAAAATCACAAGCCAAAACAAAAGTAAACTAATGCATTTCCTTGCTAGTACTTACTAATTCTAATGGAGTTGTATTGCTTGCTTTCTTGATCTCTCTCCGGCAAGCACACAGAACAGACAGACAAAGGCCGCCCCCCTTCCCCTGCCCCCCGAGATTTGAAAGTATCTTGTCCCCTTATTGGTCCTTTTGGTCAGGTGCCAGCCAGGTTACCTGAGCTTTTTAACTCTTTACAGGTAAAAGGATATTGTGCGTCTGGCCAGGAAGGATTTTATAGTACTGTATTCAGGAAGGTTGTTACCCTTCCCTTTATATTTATGACAGCCCCCAAGAGAAGAGACCTCCCCAGAGTCACCCCCCAGCTGGGAGACAGCCACCGCTTAGTCTCCCCACAGCTACCTGCTTCACCAA